CCCGTGGCAACCAAAAAAAATTTTTTTTAAATTTTTTTTGTGGAGAGGGGGAGGGGAATAGAAAGGGCATTTAGAACAGAGGTGAGAACACTGGGGTAAATCCGAAGAACCCTTGGGACTCAGATATTCCCCCAGAGCTGAAAAAAGTGGTTAACTGAAGTCCCCCCCCAAACCCCCAGGCAAAGCCCAGAGCAGCCGCCGCCTGCCGCTCCCTCTGCCTCCTCACTTCTCCGCTCTCTAACTCACTCACTCTCTTTTTTGGATTTCGTCATCTTTTCAAAAAATCAATAAAAATATTCTGGAAGCTCCAAGGGTCTACTTCTTGGTCTCATTCGGATCCCCAGACCCTATTCTATCATTCCCGACAATTGAAAAAATTGTCCAGGGTGGTCTCGGCCGCCCAGGGGCCTCTGTTGGGGGGGAGGGTGGAGAAGAGAGGGGGAGGGAGGAGGAGGAAGCGCGCCGCAGCCGCCGCAGCTGGAGCCGGAGCAGGGGGGACCGCTTCGAAAAAAAATTATTAAAAATCGAGGGGAAAGCCTAGAAACTTCCTTTGGGCCTGAAAACCCCAGAGAGGCTCCAGGCTCCCCGGAATAGAGGTTTCGGGTGTCACTAAGGTCGTTATCTCCACCCCAGGGGCTCTGGATCCCCGTGCGGAAACTTGCGGAGTGTCCGGCTGCGGCCCACAAGGGCAGTAGCTAAGAAGGCTGTACCCAGCCGGGAGCTGGGGGAGAGGTAATCGGGGAACCCCTCTCCAGGAGGCACGCGGGACTCTGATATCTCATCTGGGGGTGTCCCCTAGCCCGCTCTACACACACCTCCTCCCTCGCTTCCTACCCCACCCAAATCTGCGCGCTGAAGAAGCAGTCAAACTGTAAGTAACCTTGGTGATCTGGGGGCTGGGAGAGAGGGCACGACCAGAAAGAGGGTGACCACGATCATGGGGTGCTTGGGGGAGCCGGCGAATGTTCCCAGTCCTTGCAACTGGAGTTTGCAAAGCAACATGGCGAAAGCGCGGCAGGTCCAGAGCTGTGCATACGTGGGCACCCTCCTCTCTCCTCAAAGATTGCGAGCAAGACTAAAGCAGCGGTTCTTTCAGAATCCCCTAAAACGCACGTTTTCCCTGTGTGACTTCCGGGGCTCTCCTGAATTCCCTGTTTCTCTCCTCCGTACTCCCCCCTCCAAACTGCCAACGCGGAAGTCCCGACCACACGCAAGGGACCCGAGGCCAAGGGTGGCATTGCCCCAGCCTCGGGGGTGTGTGCGTTGCGGGGGGGGGGGGGGGGGCGGGCGTCTGTCTCCCACTGTTGGTGTGGATTTTCAGGTCCCTACACCCTTCAGGGGCCTCACTGAAGGCAGCGGTTCCACAAAACAGGTCAGGATGGGGATGGGAGGACGAGGAAGCCACATGCAGACACACGTTAGCGGGATGCCCCCCCCCCCCGATCGTTGCCTCACCCACGTTTTCTCCCCCCAGTTAATCTAGCAGGGGGCAGAATTGCGTCTCGTCCAAGGGTGCGGGGCCACCTCGCGCACGAGCGCAGGGAGGCCAGCGCAGGGGTAGTCCCCGCTCAGTTTTAAGATCCCTGCGTGTTGGGGGGTGCGGGGGGGGGGTGAAGCTGGTAGGACTGCCTCTCCCTGAGAGCGTCGCCAGCACACCTACCTCTAGCATCCAGGTGGCCACCATCCTGCGCATGTACGGCTGGATGTCCTTCTGCACGCACTTGAAATAGGAGCACTGCGGGAGGTAGCGCTCCTCGATGGTCAACAGGTTCTGCAGGACGCGGTCTTCCAGCAGGTTGCGGTCCGGCACAGCCCTGCGGACCGGGTCCACCTCGCAGCAAAGCAGCTCCATGGCCAGCCGGCGACCACTCGGGTCCCAACTGTGAAAGTTTTATTCGATTTTGGAGGGAGGGGGGCGCTCCCCTTACCTCCTTCCTTTGGCTAAATTCGAGATTTCAGAGGGAAACAGTGGAAGAGAGAGAGGAAAAGAGAGAGGTGGGGGGGGGGGCAGGCAGAGTGGAAGGTGGGCGAGCAGAGCCTCAAGGGCTGTGTGACTCGCACCGGTCCTTCACTCGACTGCCTCGCTCTCCCCAGCTCGCTCTCCCCAGCTCGCTCTCCTCTCTCTGAGGCAGTGACGCAAGCTGGCAGGGCAGTTAGGTCTCCTCCCCCTCTCGGGTTCCTCCTCCCCTTTCCTCCTCTCCCCTGGCGTCCCTCCCCTCCTTTCAATCTCTCCCTCCCTTTCCCTTCCCTACCCCCCCCCCCCCTTCCCTCTTGTTATTAAGGAGCACAGCAGCTGGCCCGACCAAACTTCAAACACGATTCCCCGCCCCCGCCCCCCCCCCCCCCCCCCCCCCCCCCAGTTCTCCAAGGCCCTCTCCCTCAATCCAGCCCCGCTGCTAGGGGCCCCGGATAGGGGAACCCACAAAACCCACCGATTCCTATTGATTCTCTATCCTTTCTTACATTCTGTAGCCATACCATGGGGAGGGGGTTTGCCCTCTAACTTTGGCGGCTTGCAATGTGATCGGAATTACTGCCCACTATTCACGGCCCAGCGGTAGAAGGTAGACTGAGTGAACATGTGGATGAGCTCAGACAACTCAGAAGTAGATCCCCTAACTGGAGAATAAGAGAAGGCTGATTTGAGAAAATTGCAACTTTGCATACCCAGGGATAAAGGTTATAACGCCCCTGAACTCAGGCTCCTGATAACTTTCGAGCTGTTTCCCGGCCCAGAGCCACGTCTGTGGAGAGGAAGAGGAGGAAAGGGTGGGTGCTGGAAGGAGGGGGCTGCTTCTCAGGCCTGGTTAGAGTGTGACCCTCGTGCAATATCCTCGTGTTCTTGGGGGCGCCATTGGGCGACGCGGCTAGCCGCTCGGGCCCGCCGCAGGCCGGGGGCAGGGCTAGCAGCTGGTTCTCCACGGCCCTCGGCCACGCAGGAAAAACCCGCTTCCTCGCCCCTGCAGGGGCGGACGAGCCAGCCCTAGGTGTCTGCGCCTAGCGTGGCCACACTGATACAGCTTTCTAGGAAATGGCTCGGGAGGGGCCAGGGAGGGGAAGAGGGAGGGTTTAGGTTTGGCTCTCCGTGCGCAGCGAGGCCACCCTTCCGGGGGTTCCTGGGTCCTGCACCCCTCAATCTCAGACCCCGCGGGGGCTCGCGCCTCACTCGTCAGCGCGGACTTTGGGTCGCCTCTGACATGTGCTCTGGCGCATCCTGTGGTCAAGGCTGTTTGTAGAGGGGACACGGGGGCGCTTCCTCACCTCCTTCCCCCTCCCACTATGCTTTTCAGCATAGTCCTCTTGGGGAGGAAGGGGCAAGGACTCAGGGCCCCCCGGCAGGGCGGCCACGCTGGCACGTGCAGATAGCATGGCGTGGGTTGCGGCTCTCTGGGCACAACGAGAGCCACTGAGTCCCTCCTACCCTGAGAACGGGGGCCCGAGCAGGGGCGCCTACAGCTAGCAGAGGCTGGGGGGTGGCGCGCTGGGGGAGCTGCACCCGTGGGCTCCCAGAAAGGCCGGGGAAGGGAGGTGAAAGGGAGAGCGCAAGAGGGGAGGGGGCAATAAAGCCGAGGTGCAAGCGATTAACTCCGGCCCGGCCAGCCCCTTTAAACGAGGGTGGGGCGGAAGGGGTGGGCGGGGGGGAGGGGGATATCACTTTAAAAGGGTGAGTAAGAGTTTGGGGCGCCGTCTCCCCTCCCTCTATTTGCATAGCCAATAGCTCTGGGGCTCCTGCTACTGCGCGCTGATTGTTACCGGGCAGATTACTTTTTTTTTTTTTTTTTTTTTTAAAGTAGGACGCCTTCCCCGCTACATCAAAAGGAAGCCCGAGGAGGGCGGGAGAGAGCCGGGACCCGGGCGGGCTTGGGGCTGCGGAGGGGCCCGGGTGCCTCGGACCTTATCAATGGCAGCGGGAATTAGTATCCAATCTACTGTGTGTAAAGAAAGGGGAGGGAAGGGGCGGGCGAGGAAAATGTCTAATTGCAGTGGAAGCCATTAGCTTTCGGGAAGAAAAAAAAAAAAAACCCTCATTGAAAAACCCAAACTCAAAAAGAAACGGTCCCGCGCCCAAGATGACACTTGGCTAGTGTGCACTGTCCATCACCTGTTGATTTAAATCACAGGCTTCCCGAATAGAAAGTTTATGGTGACATCCCGGACAGATACGTGAATTTACATTTTAAGACCTCACAAAGCAATGACTAAAAACTTCCCCAGGGCCACCTCGGAGGGACGGATCTGACAGAGCTCCTGCACAGGGGAGCCAAGTACGGGGCGACATAGGTGTACTGAGGTATCCATCTACCCCGATGGAGGACTTGGAGGACATCCAGTCTCTCCACATCCCTCGAAGGCCAGCCCTGCAGGGTCTCCTCTGCCCCACCAGTGAAGACAGCATCCGGAGCTCGGGGGCGGAGAAGAGGCGGGTGGTCGTCTTCGGGGGCTCGCCCACCCGGAGGACAAAGTCTGGGTGGCGGGTCCTCCCGTCTCCAGAGCCAGCGGAGGGCCCCTCGCCTCTTCCCTCCCCCACACTTGGCTTTGCAGTGAAATTCCAGCGGGGAGGGGATCCTGGGGTGGGAGAGGTGGCCTGCGGCGGGGAGGGCCGCGGAGGAGGGGAGGAGAGGGTCTCGGAACAGAGGCCCCACCGTCTGGAGACTGGCAAGTCAGAGTGCTTCCCGCCTGAGAGGCTCTCTCCTTCGGCGCCCCATCCACCTCCCCCTCCGACTACCGAGGGTTCCCGAAGGTGAACCTCGCACCAAATCCGTCCCCAGCACGTGGGGTGCTGCGTGAGAGGGTGCGGAGGTTGGCAGCGTGTCTCTGAGAGGTTGGGACTGGAAACTGCGTTCTCTCTTTCGGTCGCCACTCTGACCACGTGCTAAAAAAAAAAAAAAAATCTTAATTTCTTGTTTTTGCGGGCTTTGTTTGTGTGTTTGTACAAAAAGTGCTCCAGCTAACACGCGGGAAAGGGCATACCGCCGTAGGGGCAAATGTACCTATTTTTCTTGCATGTGGACTTGAGTGTTCAGAAGAGTTGCTCTGCTGGGAGGGCGTGCAGAAAGAATAAGAGGTCACCTCCTCCCACTTCTTAACCCCTGACGGTGGAGAGATCCTTTACTGGGTAGGATCCGTGATAAACCTGAACCAAACGCGAGTTTTACTGGACTTTTTAGTCCCTCCAGGACGTGCCCCCCCCACCCCCTCCCTCTTGCATGTAGCAGTTTCGGTTGGAAAGTGTACAAAGCCTGTAGGTGTAAGGTGCAGCAGGGTGTTGGGTGTTTATAGGCATATTTCTGCAGGAACCTGCCACCTAGGCACACATTCTAATAAGCTCACCTGGCGGATGCCAGCCAGCCAGGTGATCCTGCGGTCGGCCACAAGCTGGGGAGTCCTTGGTTCGAATCCTGCTACCTCGACATTCTGGTCCAGGAATGGGGGTCATCGCCTCCTCCCTGACTCCCCCAAGGAGTAGAGCTGTGCTTGGGTTACTCCACAGACAAATGGGTGGTCAGTTAATCAAAGCTCCATCACTCGATGGCTGCTTCATGTAGAACTAGGCGAGAAAAGGCTCAGTAAGAGGAGTGGGGGGAGACATAAAAAAACAGGTTTAAAATGTGCGAAGGGGGGTGGGTGTGGAAAAGTTGGGAAGTGGAGAGCCCGGGAAAGAGGGTGCAAGGACCCAGGACTGGAGGCTCGCACACCGAGACCAAGTGACTCGAGGTGTGAAAGCAGACCCCGACCCTCCCCGAGAGCAGACCTGATGAGCACTGTCACCAGTCCTGCGCACTCCAGCGACCCTCGGGTGGGTTTCTGCGTGGACCTGGGTAGGATCCTTGTGGCGGTACATGAGCCGAGAGTGTTCAGAAGCCAGCCTGCATTTGGCTCACCCACCTCGCACCTCTCCTTTGGAAGGAAAAAAAAAAAATTAAAGACCCAAACTTCCCCGTCTTCCTGTCTGATTCAGCTTCAGGACACGCCTCACCCGGCCGAAAATAGCCCTGGAAACGCATTTGCTTTTTAAAAGTGAATTTGCTAGTAAGATCTAGGGGGGGGTGGGGGGGGGGACGTCTGTTCGGCGGCGTCGGGGGTCCTGGTTCCTCCCCGGGGCGCCCCCGGGAGGGGACAGCGGAGAGACGGAACCACGCCTCTGGTTGGGGAGCCACCACGCGGCTTTTTCGCGGAATTTTGACGTCACCCACATGTGGGGGAAGGGGCTGGGAGAGCGAGAGGAAACGGCGGGGGAGGGGGGCGGCGCGGCCGGTAGCCCGGTGGCCGCCCAGCCGCGGACAGGGTCCCAGGTCCTTAAGCACTCGCTGGGTGCGGCGGTCAGAGTTGCACCCCGGCCGCAAAGCTCGGCTCCATGCTCCCAGCCATCCTCCACTCCCAAAGACTCTCCCCACCACCTTCCACACTTATTTTTATTTTTTATTTTTTTTTACTTTGAAATCGAGATCCGATCTTTGCTCCAGAAAAAGCTAGTTTCTTTGGTTTGCGGTCCAGTTCTTCTAGTCCCTGAGATCCGACCGAGTATCGAGATTGCTGCTGGCAACTGCCAGCCCGGGGCTTCCTAAGCCTGTCTCCACCCGGGAAGACGAACTTGTGTCTTTCTGCTCTTTGGGAGCAGAGCCCTGTGTTTACTTTCACACGCGGGATTTTTCCACGCGCGACCGATTCCTCTCTGCCTCACTCCACATTCCATTTAAACATCCTTTGAATTGGTTACTGTGGACGGTGGCACACGGAAGCGTGGAAACATTCACCCACGGATTTTGCTGCACCCACAGCTAACCTATCTATAAACACGCCCGTGAGAAGCACATAGAGATGAGCGAAAGTGCAGGGCCACTCCCCGCCCACTCACTGGAGACCCACATGGCATCCGTATTTGTGGAGAACCTTATAGAGAGACCTGCAGGGGTTGAAAGCTGCAGGGTGAGCCCACGCAACTTCATTTCCCCTGAATTTAGGCAAAATCTTTCTAATCTTTCAGTTCAGAGACACGAGAGCTAAAATGTGTCATTATCTTTTGAACCCACAGTAATTAGGATGAGTTGATGCTCACATTCAAGGAGCTATAGTGGGGGTGTTGGGGAGAAAAATACCACCTGGCTCTGACTTTTTTTTTTCAACTTTACTGAGGTAAAGGGGCTTGTGGGAGGAGCCAAGGACCTCTTTGAAATGGACTTGATGTGGAATTATTTGTTTCAAAAGTAGGGGAGTTTTCAGTTTGAATCAGAGGCGAAGGTTGGAAAGGTTTCTATTTTGAAGACGACAGAGTGGTTATGAGCAATGCTTTCTTGCTCCATTTGAACACATTCTCTCTATTTTTAACTTATTATTTAGTTCTTTTTCGTTTAATGATTACTAGTCTGACCCAAACAGCTTCGTTTTGTTTCTTCTGGGGAGGGGGTGGAATTATAATTAATAAAAATGTTAATAATTGCTTTTGAGGTTCAGTGTGAGGGACCTTTATTGAAGAATGGCTTCTTTTAGATGACTGATGTGATGAACATTTGCCTTGTATGTACAAGGTAGGAAAGCAATAAATTATTAAACAATTTTTAAAGAAAAGAGCTGAAGGAAGTGTTTTAAGAACCTAAAAGACAAATATCCTTTACATTTTACTTCACCTTCATTTGACACTTTAAATTGTGGGCATTCTCTGTACAGCTTTAACACTGCCCCTACCAGAATTTTTTTAAAGCAGAAGTCAATTGTATTTGTTTTCAAAACATTTTACTTTTGTTCAAATTCAAACATTTTTTTTTCTCCTCTAAAAAACACTTTCTTAGTGTGGTTGAAAACTTTTGATTTGATTGCTTTGGTGAGTCATGTATCAGCCAAGTTGCAGCCTTATAAAACATTCTCATCAATATTCTCTATTTTCTATCATATTTTTTCAGTCATTAAATGTAAGGACTGTTAGCATTTGTTAGCACAATTTATGCACAATCCCACAGCATACCAGATTCATTCTCCAACTTTTCCACAATTAATTCATTTTTTTAAAATGGAGAAATGATTTTTTTTCTTTAGCTCTTAACTGTTTCCTCCTTTTTTCTAGAGGCAGGATGAAATTTATTTCTAAAATTATTTTCTTGATAAGGTTTTGCTGGCAAAAAAGAAAAGAAAAAGAAAGAGTTTGGCATTGTGAAACTGGTGGTTTTCCAAGTTTTACATTCTTCAAAATGTGCACCTTTCGAGGAGACACTGTGCTTTAGAACAGCCCTGGGGGGGTGCAGCTCGTGTCAGGGTGCTAAACAGCCCATACTAGCTTGGACCCCTATGAGGAATGTATGTCCTCTTTGCTCAGCATGAAGTCTGAGAACCTGCTTTTGCATGCCCTTGACACAGTGAGTGTCTGTGTGCTGTACAAAGAACTCTGGAGCAGAGGAGTTTATATGGAGGATGAAATTAAAGCAAAAAAAAAGAAAGAAAATCGAAGTTGTTTCTGCTCTCAGCTGTCTCAAATCACACTCTTCATGGTAGTCCCATCAGCTGCCAATCAAATGACTCTTGGTAATTTGTTGAGGTGTTCTCCAAGCCTCCATGTGTGGCACTCCTGTCAGTCATGGTGATGAAGGACAGTAGTGAGTCTCAGTATTGCATTGAGAATCCTCACTTTCTTCTTTTTTTCAAAATTATTGTCAGATGACTAGGTTTTTATTCAGGGACATAACATTAAAACCATTCCGTTCTCACATTTTTTGAAACTAAGTCACCCACTACCTAGATGAAAGGGGGGGGGGCGGGGGTGGAGGAAGAAGTCATACAGAATTTAAAGTGAATAAGAAAATTTCTTTGCCTTGTTTCTAGACCCTTGTTCCTTCATCATGCCCATATATGTTTCCATTTACTTGAGAGCAGCCTGTCAGTACCATGGGGGAAGGCCAGCATCAGGACCCAAGCCCTACCCTGGTATCAAAAAGGATGTTGTGAAGCAAAGGGTTTGGGTTCATTTACAGGAGGCTTCATGTGAAATGTCTTACACTTAGCATCCCATGGCCACCAATTGTTTCAGAACCGTGAAACCTCATTGTTTAAAAAAATAATAATAACAAACCCAAAACAAACCCAAAATAATGTTTTTTGAGGGCAGAAGCTTCCATCCGAACTCAAATCTGCAGGCCACTGTGTGTGGGGGGCTTTCGATGACATCATTTGATTGGGGACCTTTAGTTGGCAGGGGCGGCATGTGATCCTGGTTGTCCGATGATAAACCCGGATGAAGAACTGGCTTTCCTACCCCCTCTGCCCTTCTGAAAAAAAAATTCTTCTCTTTTCTTTGGAGAATAAGCTAATGTGTTTAATTTAAAATTTCCTTAGCAGAATACTGAATAAGGCTCCAATTTACTTGCTTCGGTAAAGAGACATTCACATAATCACTTTTTGTGGTGTCATTAACAGCGATTTTATGTCATCTAGCAAATGCTCTGAGTCGGGAATGAAACGCTCATGAAATTTGCTACAGTTGAAATGAAAACCATACTTACCTTGAGAAACCAGAGTCAGACCTCCCCTCCAGTCACTGAAGACTGCAGACTGTGTTTTTCACTCAGCTAAAGACTCAGTTTTAGGCACCCATTGTGCTGAACCATAGATTAGATGAGGTCTTCTTAAGGCTGGACCTCCTGAGGTTTTGGGCAGTCATCAAATATGCCTCTGTGTTCAGGAGTTTACTGTTGAAACTCTATACAACATCCGTCAGGGTTATTCATGCTGAGGGATTGCATGTATGCTGGACTGCTAGCATCGACATCTATGTGTAGATACAGCGGGGCATGTCAGGGGCATGGTTTGGATTTGTAAGGTAAAACTTGAGTGGTCTTAGTGGATGAGTAGACTGTGCTGCGATTTCCATGCATCTGGCTTTTGTACTTCGTTTATTTGCTCATGATTGCGTCCTTCCGAAAGCTGGACTCGGTGACAGAACAGACAGATAGCTGCTAGACACTCAATAAATGTGTTGGGAGATATGAAGGAAAAAGAACTGATTCATGAGCTCCTGATCCCAAGAAGCACATTCTCTAGTGATTAAGTGTGGGAAAGAATTAATATGTGAGATAAATGACTGGCATTCTAAAATAATAAGATCTGGGTGGGAGGTAGTTCTGTTTCCTGGAGTGTTTTTCTGACATACAGGAACCCTGGGTTCGATCCCCAACACCCAGTAGAATTAGGCATAAGGGTACATGCCTATAATCCTAGCACTTGGGAGGTATAGGAAGGAGGACCAGGAGTCCGTGGTTATTCCTGGCTACATAGGGAGTTTCAGGCCAGTGTGAGATGCACGAGACCCTAAATAAATACAAATAAATAAGAATGAAGCTGTAGGTCAAAGGGCTTAGAATGAGATACTGTGCTGACCTGAGTAGCTCATAGCAGGGAGATGTAGCATCTTCTCTTCAGACTGGGTCCAGTAACTATTGCCTGGGTTACACAGAGTTTTAAAAGATTCCACTCTGGAAACCTGTTCTTAGCTATACTTTTAATTTGTAATCTATTAGGGGGACAGCAAGGACCAAAATGGGAGACTGGAAACTAGTTCGTTGTCTGAGTCCTTTGAAACTAGTTCAAGATAGATCTCTGTCCTTGGCCCCTCGTTCTGTGAGCATCTGTTTCTGTGAGTGGCTGTGTGTCTCAGAGGATCCGCTTCTCTTGGCAGCTGACAGAACAGGGATCAGTGTGTCAGTTCTTTTTTTTTTGGGGGGGGCATGATTTGAAGTTAAAGTAGCTTATCCTGACAGAGCCAAATCTACAGTAGACAGTCTTTTTAGAAGTTTATTTATTTTTTATTTCATGTGCATTGGTGGTTTTGTTTTTTGTTTTTGTTTTTGTTTTTCAAGACAGGGTTTCTCTGTGTAGCTTTGGTGCCTTTCCTGGAACTCACTCTGTAGCCCAGGCTGGCCTCAAATCCACAGAGATCCACTTGACTCTGCCTCCTGAGTGCTGGAATTAAAGGCATACACCACCACCGCCCCGCATACATTGGTGTTTTGCCTGCATGTATATCTGTCTGAGGATGTC